TTTTGGGTAAAAGGTGAAAAGAGAAAAATTTAAAATGAAAAACTTACCTGGACCCCGTCTGCGTCTGCCGCAGTTCTACCGCGGTCGCGGTAGGACCGTGGTAGACCAAGTTCAGAGGGTCTCTCTGACCGCGGTTGTATCGCGATCGCGGTGTAACCGTGACGGCCTGGGTTCAGAGAAGGGTCAGTACCGCGGTTTGACCGCGGTCGCGGTGGAACCGCGGTCTGACCGCGTCTCTGATTTTTTTTTTTTTTTTAAATTTTAGGGAGAGTTACACTTACAACAATTTCATGGGTTGCCTCCCATGCAGCGCCTGATTTAACGTCGTATCACGACCCAGATGAGTGCAGTTAAAGCTTGCTCGACCTCCGCGGTTCAGTCAAATGCAGTTGAGACCCTTCCTTGGGCTCGCTCATACCCACATACAACTTTAATCTCTGACCACTGACTCTAAATATATGAGAGTCATCCTCAGTGGCGACGTCAACCGCTCCTGACTGGAAAACTTCAACTACCCGAAATAGTCCAGACCATAGTGACTTCAGCTTGCCCGGGAACAACCTCAGTCTTGAGTTGTATAGTAGTACCATGTCCCCAGGTTTGAAATTTTGCTCAACAATGTTCTGATCGTGTAGCCTCTTCATTCTCTCTTTATATAGCCTTGTGCTCTCAAAAGCAAGATACCTGAACTCCTCGAGCTCATGCAATTCTGTGACTCTTGACGTACCTGCAACTTCCATGTCTAAGTTTAGTTGTTTGAGTACCCACCACGCTTTATGCTCGAGTTCTACAAGTAAGTGACAGGCCTTCCCAAACACTAACTTGTATGGTGACATACCAATTGGTGTCTTGAAAGCTGTTCTGTAGGCCCAGAGTGCATCATCTAGCTTCCTTGCCCAATCAGTTCTTGTGGCATTCACAGTTTTTGTTAACACACTCTTGATTTCCCTGTTGGATACCTCAAGCTGCCCACTAGTTTGCGGGTGGTATGGGGTAGCCACCTTGTGGCACACATCGTATTTTATAAGCAACTTCTCGAAGGCTCTATTGCAGAAGTGAGTGCCTCCGTCGCTGATAATCGCACGTGGTGTCCCAAAGTGGGTGAATATGTTCTTCTTTAGAAACCCCACCACCACTTTCGCATCATTGGTGGGCAACGCTACAGCTTCCACCCACTTGGACACATAGTCTACAGCAACAAGGATGTACTTATTGCCATAGGAGCTGACGAAGGGACCCATGAAATCAATCCCCCAGACGTCGAACACTTCTATCTCCTGAATTGGGTTCATGGGCATCTCATGGTGCCGAGAAATGTTCCTGGTGCATTGACATTCATTACAACCCTTCACCCATGAGTGAGCATCTTTAAACACAGTCGGCCAAAAAAATCTGGCTTCTAGCACCTTTGCTGCTGTCCTGATCCCTCCAAAGTGTCCACCATAAGCCGATGCATGACAAGCCTGTAAAATAGACGATTGTTCTATCTCGGAGATGCATCTCCGGATCATGTTATCCAGGCATATTCTAAAGAGATAGGGCTCGTCCCAATAGTACAAGCGGCTTTCGCGAAAAAATCGCTTCCTCTGGACCGATGAAAGGTCGTGAGGAACTATACCACTGGCTAGGTAATTGGCCAAGTCCACATACCATGGCGCTTCCTGATGAGTTATGGCGAGCAGTTTCTCGTTTGGAAAAGTTTCCAGAATTTCCTCAACTTCAATTGCATTTTCAGCTCCCTCAAGTCATGATAAATGATCAGCGACTTGATTCTCAGTGCCCTTGTGGTCACGTATTTCAAGATCGAACTCTTGCAGCAGCAACACCCAACGAATCAGGCGTGGCTTAGAGTCTTTCTTTTCTATTAAGTATCTGAAAGCGGCATGGTCAGTGTAGACGATTACCTTTGATTCTATCAGGTAGGATCAGAACTTGTCGAATGCGAACACCACAGCTAGCATATCCTTTTCAGTCACCGTATAGTTCAACTGGGCTCCACTCAGCGTTTTACTGGCATAGTAGATAGGGTGCATCAATTTGTCCTTCCGCTCGCCCAGCACTACCCCCACTGTNAAGTACCTGAGAGCAGCATGGTAAGTGTAGACGATTACCTTTGATCCTATCAGGTAGGATCGGAACTTGTTGAATGCGAACACCACAGCTAGCATCTCCTTTTCAGTCACCGTATAGTTCAACTGGGCTCCACTCAGCATTCTGCTGGCATAGTATATTGGGTGCATCGATTTGTCCTTCTGCTGGCCCAGCACTGCCCCCACTGTGTAGTCACTAGCATCACACATTAGTTCGAATGGTTGCTCCCAGTTGGGGGCAACAATGATGGGTGTTGTGACCAGCCTCTGCGTCAACTCCTCAAACGCTATCCTGCAATCATCAGAAAATACAAATGGGTGATCTTTCTCTAATAACTTACAGAGAGGTTTGGTGATTTTGGAGAAGTCTTTTATGAACCGCCGGTAGAAACCGGCATGTCCAAGAAAACTTCTGATTGCTTTGACCGAAGTTGGTGGAGGCAGCTTTGCTATTACATCAACCTTTGCTCGATCTACTTCTATTCCCTTGTTTGACACCCGGTGCCCCAAGAATATGCCTTCTTATACCATGAAATGGCACTTCTCCCAGTTCAGCACCAGATTAGTCTCGATGCACCGTTTCAGCACACGCGTCAGATTCACTAGGCACTCATCAAATGAACTTTCCACCACTGAGAAGTCATCCATGAACACCTCCATTATATCCTCAACCATGTCAGTGAATATGGCCATCATGCACTGTTGGAATGTGGCGGGTGCATTGCATAGGCCAAAGGGCATCCTCCTAAAGGCATAAATGCCATAAGGGCATGTGAAAGAGGTCTTCTCTCGGTCCTCAGGTGCAATGGAAATTACCCTGAGTACCCATCCAGAAAACAAAAGTGTGACCTCCCTGCCAATCTATCCAGCATCTCATCGATGAAGGAAAGTGGGAAGTGGTCTTTCCTGGTGGCTAGATTCAACTTTCGATAATCCATGCAAATTCTCCAGCCTGTGACGGTTCTCGTTCAGATTAGTTCATTGTTGTCATTCTTCACAACCGTCATGCCCCCCTTCTTAGGCACACATTGAACTGGACTAACCCAGATGTTGTCCTAGATTGGGAAAATAATTCCCGCATCTAACCACTTTATCACTTCCTTCATATTTGGGTTCAGCCTCCTCTGATGTTCCCTGGAAGGTTTGTGCCCCTCTTCCAGCAGAATCTTATGCATGCAGCAAGCGGGGCTGATCCCCTTGATGTCTGCCATGGTCCACCAAATAGTAGTTTTGCACTCCTTCAATACCTGTAGAAGCTGTTGGACCTGCACATCTAACAAACCAGATGAGATAATAACAAGTAGAGTGGAGTCAGGTCCCAGAAATTCATACCTGAGGTGGCCTGGCAATGGCTTTAGTTCCAGCTTCGGTGGTTCTTCAATGGATGGCTTAGCTGGAGGAGTCTCCCTCTTTTCTAAGTGTAGGGGCTCAAACCCTAGATTTCTTTCCCAGAACCCTCTACCTTCCAATGCCAACACCCATTCTGCCAAGTGCTCACCGTTCACTTCCTCCAAATTCGTCAAACATGCAGCGAGGGGATCCTCAATCGTCAACACTTCATCATCAGACTGTATGATTACATCCACGGCATCAATAAGAGAGCAATTTGTGAACTCACTTGGGCGCCTCATAGATTTCTGCACATTGAATATAATCTCTTCGTCATTGAGCCTCATCTTAAGCTCCCCGGTCTCACAATCAATAAGAGCTCTCCCCTTGGCCAATAAAGATCTTCCTAAGATGATAGGAATTTCTTCATCCACCTTGCAATCCAATATTACAAAATCTGCAGGGAACACGAATTTCCCTACCTGAATAAGTACATCATCCAGGATCCCAAACGGACGCTTCACAGTCTTGTCAGCCAGCTGTAGCAACATATAGGTGGGTGCAGCTCTCCCTATGCCCAACTTCTTGTAAATGACCAGGGGCATAAGATTAATGTTGGCCCCTAAATCGCAAAGTGCTTTCGCAAAAGCGAAGTTTCCAATAGTGCATGGAATAGTAAAACTCCCTGGATCAGAGAGCTTTTCAGCAACAGGTCTAGTTACAACTGCACTGCACGTCTGAGTAAGTGTCACTGTGGCCAAGTCTTGGAAGTCAAATTTTCGGGACATTAAATCTTTCATCATTTTTGCGTATCCAGGCATCTCCTTTAAAGCTTCAATCAATGGAATATTAACCTGAATTTGCATGAGCATCTCAAAGAACTTTTTATACTGCTCCTCCTTTTGATACTTAGCTAACCTCTGTGGAAATGGAGCAGGAGGTCTTTTCTTCCCAATCTCTTGGGACTTTTCTTTCTCAGCTACTATCTCTACTACCGGCTCTTCAACTGCTTCAGCAACTTTCTCGGTCTCGTGCTGAGTATTCTTTTCTTCCTGAGCAGTCTGGATTGTCACATCTGTCAGCCTTGTGGATTCATCCAGCTCAATGGGTACCTGAATGAGTATCTCAGCCTGTATATTGTCACGAGCTCTCTCTTGCTCTTCGTCGAGATCCCTGCCGTTACGGAGACTCACCGCCATCAGTTGTTTCGGGACCTGATCTTTAGGATTGATTTGGGTATCTGCAGGTAGCGTCCCTTAAGGACGATTGTTCAGAGACATTGAAATTTGGCCCACTTGAACTTCAATATTTTTGATAGCTGCGTCATGTGCATCTACTCTCTCGTTTATCTTCGCAATGGACCCAATAATCTGCTGCATCATTGCTTCCAGTCTAGCAAACCCATCATCCTGTCTTCCACCATGCTGCTGCTGAGGAGGGTGGTACCCCTGCTGTTGATTGTTGTACCCCTGTGGTCTAGGATACGGTGCCATATTGTTGGGAGGTCTCATACCTCCCATGTTTCCGGCGTTATATTGTGGCTGAGGTGATCTGTACTGCTGCTGAGTTTGCTGACCCCAGTTCTGATTTCCCTGTCTCTGACCCCCATAGTTAGCAACATAGTTCATATCTTCAGGGTGCTGATGATGATGATCAAGCTCTGTATTCCAAGGATTACCAATTGGCTGACTAATGCAAGATGTGCACAGGCCCCCATTGGTGGTATCTACTATGTGTACCTGCTGCTTCTGCCCTAATTCCTCCACCTTTTTGGTGAGGATGCTCATTTGTGTCAGGAGAGTCGCCATATTTTCAGCCATAGTGTTTGAAGGATCAAGAAGCACTGAGTGCACCACTGGAGTGATGGGTGCATTCCTGGATGTCCATCCCGAATTCTGTGCCATTTTATCTAGTAAACTCTGACCTTCACTCCATGTCTTGCTCAGGAATGCCCCACCAGCTGAGGCATCCACAATATTCTTCAACCCATCTGACAGTCCCATATAAAATCGTTGTCCCAACATCTGTTCTGGAATACCATGATGTGGACACATAACCAACATTCCTTTGAACCTGCCCCATGTTTCATGCAGTGTCTCCATCGGTTTCTGCTTGAAGCTCACGATCTCATCAATTTGTTGGGCAGTTTTGTTGGGTGGATGAAACTTGTTATGAAACTGCTTGACTAACTCATCCCACGTTGCTATAGAATTTATGGGGAGTGAGTTTAGCCAAACTTGTGCAGCTCCTGTCACCGAGAATGGGAACAATAATAGCCTGATTGCCTCTGGAGTGACATTGGGCTGCCTCTGGGTCTTGCAAATTGACAAGAAGTTCTTCAGGTGTTGCTGAGGATCTTCAAGTTGTGTCCCAGAGAAGAGTCCCTTGTTTTGCAGTAAGTGCAACATGTTGTTTGTGATCTGGAACGATTCAGCTTGTATCGCGGGCACAACAATGTCAGTGGCCAGATTGTCAGCTGTGGGTTGTGCCCAGTCATACAGTGCACCCTCGGGCACCAGAGGTGCCGCTTCTTTGACATTCAAGTTGACTTGCTCATGTCTGCCGTTTCCGTTGGGGTCGATTGTGTCTCCCATGTCAGCTTCGAATTTGTCTATGTGTTGAGGTGGTTGAAGTCTTCTGTTGACACGGTTCAATGCCCTGAATATTTTCTCAGGGTCTGAGAGTCCTTCAAGTAGTTCTCCAGTCCTGGTAGAGTTTCTAGGCATACACCTGTGCAACCAAGTCAACAACCGTCAAAAGTTTCAATAAAAAATTGGGTGTAGAGAAACTGCTTACACTAAGAATTTTTGTATTTCTATCAATGGTAATTGATAATTCCGTTAACTCCCCGGCAACGGCGCCAAAATTTGATCACGCCCAACTATGCCCTCTAAAAAGGACTCTGCGGACGTTGCAAATATAACCCGAGTATTACGCCCAGGGTCGAATCCACAGAGAGTTAACCTATCAATCACAATCTTTAGACCCGCTAAACTCTTGAGAACCAATTTCCCAAACTTTTGAATCACAGTTGAAGGTTTCTTTACTCACTAAGATTGCAAGTAAATAACAAGTTGTAAACTAAAATGCTAAGGTTGTAAACAATAATGAGAAAAAGCTAAGGTAAAGATTTCCCCTATTGATGGAATCCCTTCTGTTTATGCTTCATACAAATTTCCCAACACACCTCTATCAATCATGAACACTTTTCTTACCGTAAATCTCTCCCGAGTAATCATAGTAATATACTATTTCACTCTCCCGAGATACATTAGTTAGCTTTAATTAACACAGTTCACTTAAGATTGCACCCAAGGCTTCGTTATCCCTAATCCCGCCTTTAAACCCGTAGTTATAGATTCCTCTTATACTGTAGGAGTGGTGTTATTCAACAATAACCTACATATGCACTCTCTCCCGAGTTATGCACACGAAATAGGCACAACTAATTGAGGATCCTGTCAATTAACTACAACAAGAGCATAGTTGAATAAATAAAGATTGAAACTAGCAATTTGTATTCACATAAACAAGAAGTTCATCCCCCAATAGGTTCCATCAAAACCTTAGACAAAAGATTTAGCTACTCATAACTATGGGTAAACAAACTAAGATAAGATCCATTATAAACGAGCAAACAAAATCAAAGAAAAGAAGAAAGATGTTTTGGGTGATCTCTCACAATTGTTTTTCTTCCAAGATACTCTAAAAATCAATACATGCCTCTCCTGGGCGAAGTCTAGTGTTTAAAATCGGGGTTTTGGGCTAAAAATCCCGTGTTTTGCACTTTAGTCCCTGAAATTTCAGCCTCCTGCCGCGGTTCTGCCGCGATCGCGGTGGAACCGCGGCCAAACAGCTCCTCTGAATCTCCTTCTGTCCGC